CAATTTAACTAGTTTCAAGAAGCTGGCGTATTTGGAATCTGTTTAATTTATTTTTTCTCTCTAAGTTCTTGGCAATGGTGATCCGTCGATGTAATGCGCCATAATGAATGACGGCGGTCTAACAGACATAACCCGTGTATTAAATATTCGAATATACCTAAGCATTTTAAAATAATTTTGTTAGAAAATGTGTCTTCGTGAAAACAATTCAACGTAAAACTGTGAGGCTGATTGGACAGTAAACATAGCTGTATTCTTTCGATAAAATGATGAACCGCCGACTGTGCGTGCGCTTCGAATCCTACCTGTATGTGTAGTGCAAATCCCGCGTAGTTTACAAAACTTCATTATTACGTTTTCTGCTGAATTGTGCGTTAAATCACACTCTGCTGTTTCTAGCAAAATGACTCATCAAACACGACTACTTAAATGTATGATCCACTTAGCGCGTCATCGGTACGGTTGGCGTTGAAGACGACCATCGCTGAACACAGCGCGTACGTAAATATCTAAAACCCATATATTTTGTTATTCAAAATTTAATTTTAGTTCAATAAATTATCAGTTTATTTTTTTATTTTGATAGATCATGATATCACGTATTTTTCATTAATATGAATTAAATAGTATGAAAATATTAAAGAAGATTAATTTATTAGTGTTATGATTTTAAATCACAGAGTGGTAGGAAAGTTTATCAGTTTCCATTTTTCGGAACTAAATGATCGTGCTCAGATGAGACACATGTACAAATACACCACACCGTTAAGGACAGTATAATTATTATCAACGACGACAGCCTACACGTCACACGCACAATGTCAGTTACATATATGTATATCCACTCTCACACAGACTCTAACGCGGCTGCCGCCTTCAAATGTCTGTCTGTATGTCCAGCTGTTTAGAGCTCGAAGTTTTTTTTCTGTAGACACACTCGCACCGGCATTTTAGCCCCGTGGTTGTTACGCTGTCAAAAAAGACCCAGTAATCGTGTAAATGTAACGAGTTAATCGTTGCCGCTGCTTTGTTGCTAATCATTCAAACAAATGGTTTGTGCCCCTCCCACTTTTCTTCTCAGTCGCTTAGCGACTGGCCGACATCGTGACGTCACCCGATGTCTTGGATTGCAACTGATACAATGACTAGCTATTTACTTTTGGGAGAGAGAAAACAACTCCAGTTTAAAGCTATAGAACAAATAATGCACAGCGCTTTTCGAAATCGTTGATGCAGAAGGAACAGCATGGGCTGAATTTTTTTTTTCTGGGGCCGTTAATCTCACCACCCCCCTTTTACCGATTTTCTAATGGCCTTATTGTTGCTCTTGAAAACCGACTTATTGGCGTATTTATGTGCCGCATTGAGCCCTCCTGTCTTAAGATAATTAGGCAAACAGAAGCAGCCCCCTTTTTACTAATTTGAACTAAACTTGTCTGCCGCACACAGAAGAAATAACTAAAGTCCGCCGGGCTTGTAATTTTCTCCAGGGCGTGTAATTAGGGTATCAGCCTAGAAGTCACAGGCGCTGTCTGCTGGTAATGACGGAAAGCTGTCTACGGCCTGTTAGAACTATGCCACCCAAAAGCGATGATATATATCCTATATATATATGTTGCATGTAAACACGCTTTCATTGGTACCTTCTAGATTCCAGTTGGTTGTATATATTTACATACAGAACATACAGCGGTACTTAACGCCTGTAGTGCAATAGGACAACAATTTCTAACTATAATGTTAGTATTGTATTGTCCAATTTCTAACTATAATGTTAGTATTAAAAGTACCCATTTCCTCAATTAAATCTCAATGTTTTCATTTGAGATAGCGACGGTTGAATTGACCACCACTATTATCAGTGTCATAGTTCCCCCCTAAGTCCCAGACCGTTACTCTGGAATAGTGATGCTCGTACTTAATTCTTTACATCTGTCTCCTCTCCCCTCCAACTTTATCTCATTCCTAGCTATATGTATAATAGGCTCTTTCACTGAACTCGTAAAACAGACTAAGCTTGATGAAGTTAATTTTATTTCAATGAAAAATTAGTGTGACGTTAATAATAATGAAAAAAAAAAAAACGAACAACAAAAGAAATTAGTATATTCACCGGTGGAGCATTGAGCATTTGCACTCTGCACATTCAGAGAACATTTCTTATTGAATAAAACGCGACAATATCACGTATATAATTCCCGTGGGAAAACGATGAGATTTTACGTCTAGGCCGTACTGTAGCCGTACCTCCCCTGAAAAGTTCATCTCCCCGCGTATAAACTTTGCTGACTGTAGCGGCCAATCCCAGATTTGTACCGTGATAGTCTCTTCATTGCAAATAAAATATATCGAGGTACATGCATGGTATTAATGAAACCCTATCACCTGTGTAAGAAGTTAACTCCAGCGTGCCTCTCATCCATACACAGATTGTCCCTTTTTCGTTGACCCGTTCTCGCCTCTAGGCTGTAAATCAACGACAATTGAACTGTATTGAATACATTTGAACTGAAGATTAACCGTTTTTTGTATGAAAACATACAATACCTACGTCACCATAACTGATTCGCGTTATGATTATGAATTTCAATATTTATATACTTGAAGTTATGTTATATTTGAATGGCTTTTGATACAAAGTATCGGATCTGAGTGTGGCGGGCCGGCCCTTCAGACACGCGTGGGAACTCCCCTCTGGTGTCACGTAATTAGCTCGAGTTCTTAACGGCGTCAGTCAGCCAGTCATTCAGTCTGTCAGTAAGTAACATCTCAAATAAACAGAGCGTGTGACATAATGGTGGTTGAGTCAGTTTCAAAAATCTCAAAATAAAAAATCATAATATATAATATCACCACTATAATAGTGTATAGTATGTCCTGTATCAATAATTGTTATATCGCATTTTTAACACATTTCAAC